CTGCAGGGCCGGGAGCTGCGCGCGCTGCCCCTGTCACCGCGGGTGCTGCTGCTGCGTGGGTCATTCGTGGGGGTTTCCCCAGCCCCGGGGGGAAGCTCGGCCGCACGCCAAGAAATAAGCGCCAGTTTTGGCCCTTTGGAAGAATTTGGTCTTTGTGAGGTGGTGTTTGTGTTGTACGTGTCCCCGAGTCGTGAGGTGCCTTGAAGACTTTTTTGGAAAGTCTTGAAAGCAAGCAAGAGGCAGAGGAGGACTCTTGAAAGTTAGCGAGCAAATAGTGCTCTAGTCAGAGTTTGCTTAGAAAGGAAGTTTGATGTTGTTCGTAGCAAATGGCAACAGCCATTTGAAGTGTCAGTCTGAGCTGCAAAGAGGACTTGAGGTTTTGATCCCAGCCTTTCTACGTGGGGAGAAATGCGATGATGTCAGTTTCCCCAGGTACAGGACAGGCACAATATTTGATCTCCTAATGCTATAATGTGTTTGAGAAAGCAAGGCCTAGTTCTCTTCTCTAAAAGGGAACCCATTGGCGATAAAGTTAAATAAATCTAGGAGCAGGGGTGTTTCTTTCTTAGCTTTTTTTAAGTAAGGATTATTGACTAACTAACCAGATCATCCACATGGTCCATTCTGTTCATGACTCAGACAAGGGGCCTGTGGTGGTTTCCTCTCTTCAAAAGTTGCCATGAGCAGATGCCTTGAAAGAATGAGAAACAGGCAAGCCATTTCCATGCAAGGCTTCTCCAATTTTGGGCTCCTTGCACCTCAAGAAAAAGATAAGAACTAATATGATAGCCTAACAGAAGAGTATATCCTTCCCCCTAAGTTTTTGTTGTCCTATGTCAGCGTGTCTTTTATTTGTCCCACCCATATGAGAGGAATATCGGGATATGAAGTATTTATTGCAGGTTACCTGTGGAAGATGGTGGTGCAGGGCTTACCTGGGCAGAGGCAGGTACTGGTTGGCCTTGACCTTCCTCTTCCTCACAGGAGTGTGCAGCAGCGCTGCCCTTCCCATTCATCATGTTCACGTCAGCATGGCCAGGCTTTCGGTGGAGTTCTTGATGTGAGCAGTTTTGCTTACGTGTTGGGCCTGTCGAGTTGCCTTAGGACCTAGCATGAAGTGCATCTAACTCTGTCTCTTTTCTTGCTTCAAAAGGAGTCTGAATGTAGGAGGGTTTTCTTTTACACAATTTTCCACTGTTTCTGTCGCTCTTGTATTGGAACAAACCAATACATGCTATTTTCTCCAGAGAGCAAGACTTGTTACCCGTATTAGTGATTTGCATTAATTGTTCCCCAGAGTTTTTAATTTCTACAGGAAATTCTCCTGGAGAGCACAGGAGCACAACAAAACATATAGCCATCTTTATTAATTCTGTCACATCTCAATATATCTGAATACACTTGATTTAACAATGCTGTTCAAGTAAGCAAAGACATACTTATTTATATGTGCTTTTATGGTCATCTGTGCAGCGGGAATCAGGGGTAGTCTGAAAAATAGATATGCTTGCTTCTTCCTTTCTAGCAACCTAAGAAATGAAGGACTAGGGGAAAAATAGAGAGTCCAGGCCCATATTACCATTAAGTGGCATAATGATTTTTCATTTGAAACATGTTTTTGTTTTCTGTTTATATGTTTGCCAGTAATACACGCTTTTATTGGATCATGGCTTGTGTAAGCAGTTCATGAAACAGTTGTCCTCATTTAAAATAACCTGGAAGCTGTTCTTTGATCTTCTGTGGTTTGGTTGGATATTTGGAAACCCGTATACCTGTAAGAATCATTAGTGTTGCTAAAAAGCATAAATATTCCAAAGGTCGAAGAAAAGGAGAGGAAGTGTTTTGCCATGCTCAGAAAATCATCTAATTGGCATGGACTTTTTATGTTGAGAAATTGAATACCATCTTCTCTGTAGTACTTCAGTAATATGGAATATATAGTAGTAGCATAGCACAGTCATAGAGCATCTGTACAGCTTTCCTTTTGCTTGTGTGTCCATGGTTGAAAAATGCTGATATTGGTGGCATGTAACTGTTAGCTTAGTAACCATGGACTTTTTGAAGCCAAAGAGTGAGGCTGAAACCACAAAGATTAACTCTAAGACAGTTGGAGACAAGTGACCCATAGAAGACATATTAAAATGAATATTTTGAGCTGTAACAGTTCATAGTTTGGCTAATAGACAACTGATAGTAATAAAGGAATCATTTACCTCTTCAATGTAGCTCAGTAGACTTGGACTGCACTGTATAGCTGTTTTGTGAGCTGCCATGTTGATGATCAATCTCATGGAGCATACAAAAATAGTAGACAGCTTCTCAGGAGGAGTTTGAGCCTGTCTTTCTGATCATCTATATCCTTGCTTTCTTCTTTGTGTCCTTCAATCAAAACAGTGAAAATCTGTTTCTTTCATCTGTCTCGTTGAAATATATGTACCACTGGGAACTTTTTCACACTTGTCCATCATGTTCAGTAGCAGAATTTTTCTGTAAATATGTGCTCCTTGCAGGAAATAGCGTTTGTGATCCTTAGAGGACCCTGATGGAGGTCTTACTTGTTTTACAAATTGATGAATATTTGGTGGAATGCACTGAGATTTAGAGGCTGTTAAAGTTCACTTCTTCAGGATGCAGTTGGTATCAAGTTAATAGTGAGCGTCTTTTAACTGGAGGTATTCTTTCCTGATGACAGTAAATAATTCTTCTCTTTAGCTATTGCCCTCATTATTTTGCACCTAAACAATCATAACAAACACATCTCCATCAGATTCTGACTGCAATTCCATAGCTGCAGCACCAGGCATGCTAATTTAATACCTCTGTGTACCCATGTTCCTCATTGCCCTGTTAGAAGGTGGTATGCCCCATTTCTTGCTAAAGTAGGTTAGATTTTTTTTTCTTTTTTAAATCTTGAAATGCTTGCGCAGCTCATGACGAAGTAATTTGCAGTGTACTCTGGAAGGTCATAAAGTCTCTGTTCTCGGGATTATTTTAAACTAAATAACTCTAGGAGGTCTCGGTGCTGAGTTTTGTGGAAGGTAGAGGGTGGATACTATGACAGAGCTCAACTGCCCCCCACCACCCCTCTTATCTTGGGCCTAGCTGACCACAAATACCTGACAGTGCCCAGTGCTGACCAGGAGGAACTGGGCAATAGTGGTTGCAATTGATGTGGCAGGAAACAGGCATGAGACCTTTTCCAGCAGGGCATGCTAAATTCATGCCATCTTCAATAAATTTGTTTGCAGTAAATCCCAAATTTATACCCTTCCTCCCTATAATCTGACCTAGTTGTCAGTATGTTGGCTAGTGAGCTTGTAGCAACCTATGTATGGAGACGTGGAGCGGAGGAATGCCCCAAGTTCTTATCCAGGTGCTTTATTTCTATGACTAGGGGGACTTGGAAAGGCAAGTAGGCTTAGCTAGGGGTGTAGGAGTAAGGACAGCCAAAATAAAGGCGAAATCCCCCAAAAGATGGGGGCTTGTTTGGAAGCAGCTTATGTCTACAGGGAACAGGGAGGTGAAGAACTAGCTCCCATTCAAAATAAACTGCGGGCCCCAAAACAGCAGTGTCTGCTACTACAGATAGGAAATGATTGCACCAAAGAACAATTGAAGTAAGTTAAGCAAGATAGAAGGAAGACTGTGTAAGAGAAGTGGTGCTGGCAAAGTGCTGGCAAAGCAGTCTAAAACTTTTGACCCTGTCAAAATCCACTGGGTGCTAACTGAGCCAGAAACTTGGGTGGGGACATGTAGTTTGATCCATATAATGTTCATTCCCTCTCCCCTCACCTCCATCCTAATAAAGAATGGGACAGGAGATGCAGAAGAGGATCCATTCAGGTATTGTGTGTGCTTCTGCGCTCCCTAGTACAAGAGGGATGGGAGCTACTGGAGAGAGTCCAGCGCAGGGCTATAAGGATGATCAGAGGTCTGGAACATCTGCCCTATAAGGAAAGGCTGAGGGAGCTGGGCCTGTCTAGCCTAGAGAAGAGAAAACTGAGAGGAGATCTAATCAATTTGTGCAAAATACCTTAAGGGAGAGTGTCAAGAAGATGGGGCCAGACTGTTTTCAGTGGTGGTCAACGACAAGAGGCAGCGATCATAAGCTGAAACACTAGAAGATCTCCCTGAATTTGAGGAAAATCTTCACTATGAGGGTAACAGCACTAGAATAGGTAGCCCAGAGGGGCTGTGAAGACTCCTTCTCTGGAGATACTCTGTCTGGACATGATCCTGTGCCACATGCTCTAGGTGACCCTGTTTGTGCAAGGGTGCTGGACTAGATGATCTCCTAAGGTCCCTTCCAACCTCAGTCATTCTGTGATTCTGTGATCTTCAAAAAATTGGTTTGCAATAAACCCAGAGTTAATAACCCACCTACCTCCCAAACGAATACACACTAAGAAACTGAGGCAGCCGTCTTTGATAGGGATAGCCCATGTGTGGCACTGTGCTGTGTTCTTTCTGTGCTGTGTATTTTGTCCAGTATTTTTTCCTGTGTTTTCCAGTATTTTTTCCATAGCTTCTTTACTTTTTCTGCTGTGATATTTGAGGTGTGTGATATCCTCTGAGATTCTCAACCAGCATGCTACTGTTACTTTTTCACCAGGTGAAAGATCTTCTGGCTGTATGCACGGTTCACCAAATCATTTTGCGTGTGTGTCACAGAGTAACCTCATCACACTCTCAGATATAATCCTGAAAGTAAGTGTAGTAGTATTCAGAACAAAATATTTAAAGTCGTGTTTCATACCTCATTCAGTGTTGACCTCTTTGAGGTTTATTAAAAACTATTTAAAGATGAAGGTTTTTTCCTCTCTTATAAATTATAATGTATCAACAAAAATATTTGAGATATGAAGGGCATATACAAAGGCACTGTTCTTCTTCATTTCTGTTTGTTCAGCATTTCACCCTGAATTTGGCACTTTACCACAAAGCTTAAATGGCAGCAGCAGAAGGTCTTGCATCTTTAACAAGTGTGGCTGGTAAGGATTACTCCAAGTAACCCTTACGGTGGTACCCATTGCTATATTACATCAGTGAGATAGTGTTAATAAAAAGAATTTTTAAGAAGTGTGAGAAGATTCTGTTCTTGCATTTAGTGTTCACTTTTACTGTGTCAGTGCACTTAGTCTGGAATGATTTTTTTTTTTGAGTCTTAAATAGAATATATCTCAAGTGACCTGCTTGTTCCTCTGTCTTTTAGCTCATACTAATGGACAGAAGTCACTTACTTATTCTTGCATACCAGACATACAGGTCATTGGCACTGCCAAGACTATTTCTTCTGCTCTTTGTGTATATATATGTTACACCGCATGTAGAGTATTTGCAAGCATAACTTTTGTTAATCTTAACTATGACACAAAAATACATTTCAGGATTTTATTAACACTGATTTGAAAGGTAATATAGTTATATAATTAAAATACTCTGACATTTGCGGGGGAGTGAAAAGAGGAACAAATATAAGTTAATGATTTTTTTTTTCCTTAATGTAACTGTAAAACATTTTCCAGTGGCTTGTCTAAGTGCCAGTCAATCAAAAATTATTTTCAAAGAAAATTTAAAAATAATACAGGATGATCCTGGATACAGGATGAATACAGGATATTGTAGTTTTTTTTATATAAGCTCCAATAATACATTAATTTACCTGCCCTTTCCCTCACAAATTCATTCATTTGGCTGAAACTGTTTTGGAGGCTTCCCAGAGAGTTCTTTGTGGTATTTTGATCTGTGCTCTGCCTTGCCTAAATAACTGTTATGCAGGATCCACATTGCTTTGTGGTGCTTGGTGATCAGGAAATCCTCATCAGGGTTTGATCCACACCTGATTTTTTTTTTTTTTTTACTGTGGTTGAAACTGACCAGAGTAGGCCAAGTATCAAATTGTACTTGTTTTGCCTTGAGAAAATGATCAAAAGGTAGTTTTTAAAAAAAGAAATAGCTTTGGTAGTAAACAGTTTTTATGTTATGTTTCACATGTTTAAACATTATTTGAAAAATAATTCCCATCATTGGATTTCATAGGTAGATACAGAAGAGAGATTTAAAAGATAAGGCTTCAACATCCTGGTTGTTTTCAAAGTTTTGGATTTTTTTTTTTAAATTTAATGGTAATGTAGTATTTCATTTCAGTAAGGATTAAGAGAGTTGCTCCATAATGGTTATAATCCTTTGTGTTCAACATGTTCTGAGTATTGTACAAATATTAACTAATCTGCACTTCTGTGAGGTAGGTGGGGGACACTGAGACAGAGAGGTTGTGTTATTCAAGGTCAGTATTTTAGTAAATATTGGATCCAGGATTAAGGCTGTCCTTAGTTTAGTAAAGAACATGATTTCCTGTTTCTTACCCTGATGTCTTTTCTTTCCTTGATCTTACAGCTTCATCAATTTCTGCTGCAGACAAGCACACCATTCTAATACAGCTATAAAATTAAATGGAAAGAAGAGTTTTGCTGATAAAGAATAAAAGATGATTCATACCTCTGTAATAATTTTTTCTAGCAGATGTTTAGTTTTGAGCCATGTTGCTTTTGTTTAATTATTTCTGAAGAGATTTTTTTATTAACCTTTAAACAAGAAGTTCATCTTGTGTTATAAAGGAAAGGAAGAAAGATGATATATTTCAGTTTTTATTGCAGTAGAAGTATGAATTACACCTGGCCTAGTACTTGGATTATGCATCTGACCTGTGCTGATAAATAAGGACATCTAAAAGGAGAAAGTCACGCAATACTTGAATGTTGTCAGGTTTTCCAGAAAATTGACTTCGAGTGAGGGTGCACATTGATAAATTGATAGTCTTAGCAGTAGTAAGCTGAGTATCTTTGCTCTTCTTCTGGAGGAAAAGGTGTATCTATGAAAATTTGTTCCTTCAGTAGCTGACATCAGATTTTTAGCATGGTGAATCTGGCCAGACTAAGAGCAGAAGCAAGTCTATGCTCTGTGACTGTACTTTCATTACTGCATTAAATATTAATTAAAGATAGCAGTCTCGAGGTAGGATTTCAGACAGAACTTAGTCATAGAAATAGTTTATGTGCTAAGTTCCTTGGTAGGAGTTTTGCTCCTTAGTCTCATTGGCCTTTAGGAACTCCGTGCAGAGCAGGGGTGCCATGTTCTCTGTCAGACTTCCAGCACGTCATCTCCAGACTTGCCACGCAGTTACTCAAGATGATCTTTGTCTTGCATTTTCGTAATTTAATTAAAAATTATTTTAAATCTGGCTTCTACCTAATTGAAATTTACCTCAGATGCAACTTGCTTTTGATCCTTTCCTCAAAGCCCCATGTCTTCAGCTTTACCAGCTTTTGGCTGCTTGTTGGCCCTGTTTGCCACACTGTTACTGTTTTGTGTGCTGTTCCTGCTTGGCTTTCAGAACACTCTTCTTTTTGTTCTTGAAGACAGTCTTTAGTCACCAGTTGGGTGTCAACCTTTTCTCCTCTTTTGGGGGAAGTGAGGCAGGTCTGTCAGGTTCTTAAATTTTTAGGGATTGCCTACTGAGAGGATGGCAACTCTGAGTTTTGCCTTTCTATTCCTAACTTTTCTCACTTAGAATTGTTTTTCAGCTTCCCTGTCTGACATCCTTGTACAGCAGTCTTTTTCACCTTTAATTTAGCATGAACCAAAATATTTGTTCTTGAAGACAGTCTTTAGTCACCGTTTGGGTGTCAACCTCTTCTCTTTTTGGGAAAGTGAGGCAGGTCTGTTAGGTTTTTAAATTTTTAGGGATCGCCTACTGAGAGGATGGCAACTCGCAGTTTTGCCTTTCTATTCCTAACTTTTCTCACTTAGAATTGTTTTTCAGCTTCCTAACATGTCTGACATCTTTGTACAGCAGTCTTTTTCAGCTTTAATTTAGCATGAACCAAAATACTTTCCAACAATTTCTGTCCTTTTCTCATTTTTAGAAAGGAGAAAAATATCATAATCTTTTTTTTGTCTATCCCCACCCAAAATCTGCATACTCCCTGTCTTCTTTGCTCCCAACCTACTCTCAGCCTTACCCTTCTGCCCAGCTATAACACATAATCATGTACGTGTCTTCCTGCGTTCTGTCTTTTTTTTTTCTGTAATCTCCTTTCCACTGTCCTTCCAACAAAGGTCTCCTCAAGTCTGCAAAACAGCACAAAACTACATAGTAAACTACCATTTTTTTTTCCCAGTGGTAAATGGACTGTGTCAGCATCCTGTTGAATCCCTCTTTGGTCTTTCTCTTTTCAGCTGTATCTAGTTTGTCACCTGTCCTCTTCAAATAACTCTTACATTTATACTGTCATTCATTATCCCGTGTTACTGACATTCTGTTTTTCTTTTGCTTTAGGAATCTTAATCTCAGTGTGCTATTAGCTGGAAGAAGCTTTTTGCAATAAGTGTTTTTCTCTTTCGTGTCCTGACCACCTTCTGAGCCTGCATGATCATTACCTCTTTATTAAATCTCTTCTGTTCTCCTTGTCAAAGTCCATCCTCTTCGATGTCTGCAAGAAATTAGCTAAGAAAAGCAATTTATGATTTTTTTTTCAATTTTTAAGTATACTGGCTAACCTTTTTATTTCATCATGCTGCCTGCTTTCTCAGTCACGATGATATTGATTATTTAATTGTTTATTTTTTGTGTTTAAGTGGCAATTAGACATCCATGCCCTGTTGTGCTTCCTTCGAGTATTTGTTTTGAAGGGCCCAGTGTACCTTTGGTTGTGTGTGTGTGAGAGAGAGAGTTTTATCAGCATCTTTCATCTTAGGTGATGAAGTTCTATGTAGTACAGAGGTAAATATTCTCTGCTCTGCAGAAGCCACTTGTCTAAATTAGAATAGTGAGGCAGCTTAGCACAGCCGCATGGGGGTAACTGCTCTTGCCCCTATGTGTTGGTTATATACCTAAAATAGGAAGGGTTGATGCTATTTTCTTTTTCCAAATTGCCAGGATATCATTTTCACAAGGGATGGAATTTTTCATGGCTTGAGGGAAGGACAAATTTTGCTCAAGGTTCTCTTATTTTATTATTGTAAGATTTATAGCGCTGCCAACCCCTTTATTTGGACAGATCCCAGATCTGCCATCTCTCATTCACTTGGAGTGCGGAGCTTCTCTAGTTTTCCAGCTTGCACTCCAAAGGTGGAAAAAACAGCTTTGAACTATTTTTTTGAAAGGATCAGTTTATTCAGGCCTTACTCTGAAATTATGAAGTAAGGAATGGAGACACTGCCCATGCCAGGATATGGTTTTCAGTTTTAGCATATTTTTACTGAATGTAACCAGCTGACTTCCCACCCCATCAAATTCTCTTTGTGTCCTTCAGTTCCCTGCCTCTGTAGACTTTACCTTTATTTATTACCTTTTGGCCCGGATCCACCCATCCTGACACTAAAGGAAGAGCAGGCTGAAGGAAACATTCCAGGAACAGTTTATCCTTTGCTAGTCGATAAAGATTCTCCAGTGCTGTTCTTTTCTAGTGCTGTGGAATCCAGATGTCTTTTTCCAGCCACTCTGAGCTGCACTGAGCAGTCTCTGCAGCTCTTTTTTCTCCTTATCTGAATAACTTTGCTAGGTGGCCGCATGGGGAGAAATGATACCCATCCTCTGAGCTCTCTCTTGAGCCCCATACTCAGTGCCCGCTGTGGTTGATGCTTGTACCACATTTTTCCCCTGTTTATTTTGCTGCAGGTACCTAATTAGGTGTGTTACGTACTAGTTCTCAGCAGCTGTATCACTGAATCACTGATTCCAAACATAGAGAAAAGAACAGACGCAATTTCATGACAGTTTCATCATGACCACATAAGAGGAGGTATAATTTTTAACTTGTAGCAGGGTTGAAGAGGGTGTAGCTTGTAGCAGGGGACAAAGTCTAGGCAAATGACTTGCACTGTCATTACAAAATAAGGTTGTAAGCTACAGCAATTTGTTGCTTCAACTCCTAGTATTTTGTGTAGCTTCAGGGCGCTGAATTTCTGCTTGCCCAGCCATTTGGTTCATAGCCTAATTTTCTTCTAGCTGAAAATTGTGCATGTCTTGCTTTTTGCTGGATTCCTGCTTTGCACATGTACCTTGTAGCCTAGCATAACAGCAGCAAAGTCCTAATAGGAACTGCTCTAAATGCATGTTCCTATTTCTCCTCTCCTGATCTTCTCTCTGCCATTACCTCCCCCCCGCCAATTCAATTAGTATTTACTGAACAAGAGCCAGTATTCCAGCATATCCTCAAATTGAGAATGAGATTTTTCTAGCTATGTTTGCAGTTAAGGAGGAAAACAGCACAGTTTAGAAACGTACTTTAAAAAAGGTGGGGAGGAAGGGGAAAGCCTTTTCAGTTTCAACACACTGCATCAATTGTATTAAATGTAAATAGGCCTAGAAAAAGTAGAACATATATAAGAAAATATTTTATGTACTGTTGCTGGAAGGCAGGCAAATATAAAATTGTTGGCTGGTTGAATGAATTAAAATTTCCTGAGCTTTAAATTGTATAAGCTCATTTTAAACATTATTTCTTCAAATTTTATGTGGAAAAAACCTGTCTTCGACGTAGACCTTCATTTACAGGAGAAGCTGTAAAATATAAAAAATTGAAAGATTTGCAAAACATGACAGAGAACCATGCAGACAGTTAGATGCTAATAATTTACAAGTTAAGCATTGGTTAGGAAATGTATAAACTTCTACCTTAAGTCTTTATACCTCTTTACCTTAAGTAAAGTTTTGCAAACATAGATTTTGTGGTCAGACTGAGAGGGAGAGGCAGCAGTGAGGAATTCAGATACATTTGTGTTGTTTCATTAGACCCCAAACTAGATATTTTCTTTTTGTTGCTGTTCAGGCTGTTGATCCTGTTTGTAACCTTTAGAAATCGACTTAAAATTTACAAACCCAAATGAAGAGATAAATATTTCTGTTGTTCCAAATTATTATTATTGTCAGGAAGTATCTGCTGGCTTCTGCTGCAATCTGCACATACTTGTACACTCTCAGGCTCGCTAGGGTCCTTGCCCGCTTTGCTTGGGCTTCTGGCTCGTTCTGACCGTGAGGTCGTGGCCAGCAGACCATTTTGATGACTAGGTGAACCAGATGACCTGTATCCATTTTGATAAGAGGCCAAGGGCTATTTTGGACCGTAGAAACTGTTCTGCATTCTTTAACTGCAGAAATGCCTCTTCTGCAGGTTTTGTGGAAGGTGATTTGGCAAAGCAAATAGAGAAGCTGTGTCTGGTGTGCATATGCTTGTCTTTAAGAAAATGAGCACACGTTTTAGCAAAGGAGCCGTCAACCTATCGGGTACCCCCAAATACAGTCACAGAGAAAGGTTTTGGTTTTCATTCAGTATGTATTTGTTTATTCCGTCAGTCTCTCCTTCATAGTGTTTCTTAGCCTGTTTTTTTAAATCTTTCTTTCTTTTTTTTTCTCTCTAATTCAGGGCTCTCTAATTTTCCTTTCTACTTTTTGACAGTAGAAATGGGCTATCTCACTTTTCTGACACATCTACATTTTTCAGATAAATGAAAAGGTAGTTTTTCAGATTTAAACAGTTGGATTGCCTTTTTGTTTAACAAGAATAAGCATCCATGGTGCTCTGGGGAATGGAGAATGATCTAAAATAAGCCCAGTTGTTTTTTGTTGTTTATCTATTTCTTTTTGCGTCTGTCTTAGTATTTACTGCTACCATCTGCATTTCATTTCAGGTTGTCTAATGTCTTATTCTGCATGTTTTGTGCCTATTGTCTTTACACAGCCTTGGGCTGTAATATCACCATTTGCCTACACGAGATCCATTTCTATCTGTAACAAAATGAATTGCATTCATCTGTGTAATTCATTTCTAATGAATGCCTTGCTCCTCATTAAACAGTGATTTACCTTTGTTTCCTTTTTCTACCCTGTCAACACTAACCATTTTGAGGTCCTGTGGAGAGATGCTAATTTGAGAAAGTAAAAGTCAATGCAACTAAACACTCACAAATGGCATCCTCATTGGCACTTTCAAAAATATTCATGGGACATTTCCTGGATTACAGTTTTCAGGTGGATAAGAAGACTCAAAATGTTTTCTTATTCATAAGCTTTCAGTGTACAAATGCAACATTTCAGAATTTTAATGCGTCTCTCCTTGTGAGTGTCTTGAGCCTTTAGCCAGGCTTGTGAATCAGTTAAGACACTGTCTGCTCTGCTAGAGTTTTCAAGAGGAAATGCACATTTGGGGAGACTAGACCCTTAGTTCTCCTTCCTCTGAACCTTTTCAGGAATATTTAGAATCTTTCAAACATCCAGACATAATGCTTTTGAATTTCTTATTTTTGGCATACTTTTGACATATTTTATATCTCTCAGCCTGGATAAACATTTTGCTTGATTTCCCTCCACCCCCACCACACACACACGCACATTTCACACTTTGTTTTAGAGATCAGTACGACCATTGATTGTTTTTGTGCGTCTGAAGGCCAAGGATTCGGATCATTAATGAATGAAATAGGAATAGCATAAGAATGCTGGTACAGACCCATTCCCTGTGTAGTTTTTCTGTAATGCCTCTTCAGTGTGTCCTGCAGCATCCCGTTTTCCAGCCCTGCTCTTTGCAGAACACCCGGATCTGCCATGTGTGCAAACAGATCGGTGCTGCTGACAGATGATGGTTAGAGCAAAGCACGAATTACAAAATTCCCTTGCACTTTAAACCAAAGTAGGATCTGAACTGCAACAACACACTGTGAATATGAAAATATTATTAGTAAGCATATTTTAAAGTAATGCAGATTTGTTTTAGGATGTTGTCTGATTTACAGCATCTCTAACTCTTATTTTAGTGGTAGTAGTAGCTACTACTCATTGATGCATTTGATCATTCTCACATAAATTTGCCTTGGCATTTTAGAGTATTTACTCCTGTTTATGGCCAGATTGATCCCCTGTTGAAACTCTAGAGTTGTCAGTGGGTATCAGCTGAGTTACACCATGGATTAATTTGATCCATAGTATTATGAGTGGATTGAAGCATGGGAGGTTTTTTTTGTTTGTTTGTTTTTGTTTTGTTTTTGTTAAGCTGGTCTTGCCTAAATCATGTAGCATTTGGAAGTAAGAACACTGATTAATGTAACAATTTTATTTTTAATATACGTTTTAGAAGACAAAACTGACCTTGAGAACAGTGTGATGCAGAAGAAAATTAAAATCCCCAAACTCTCTCTCAATCACGTAGAAGAAGCTGGGGAGGTTACAGATTATGGGGAAGAAGATGTGGAGCTTAGACACAGTAAGGTACTGAAGTCTTTTTTTTTTCTTTTTTTTTTCTTTTTTCCTTTTTTTTTTTTTATTTTTTATTTTATTTTTTATTTTGAAGTGCTTGGGGCATATACAGCTGGCATAGCCTAAGAATTCCAGGCCTGCTTTTGATCTTCTGAAAACATTGTTTGATGTAATTGGGTCAAACTGGGGGGATAGAGCGGGATGGGGTGAGGGCCAGAGTTTACAGATGAGCTTTTCAAAAACCTGATTCACGTGTGAGTGAACGTTTTTCTTGTTATCCCGTTTGCACACAGTAATTGCCATTGGAGATTTTGGGATCGATGCAGTTTCCCTTTGGCACAGAATGCTTTAAAAGTCACCAGTCACATGAATGTTGAGCAGCCGTTCTCAAGGGCACTCGTGACCTGTTGCGCTCTGCTTGCTGAAAGGGGTGCTAGGAGATTTCCCTAATAAAACAGGGGTGAGAAGACAGTCTGACAAGATGCAGCCCTCCAGTATAACTGCCAGTTGCCTTTTTAGGTTCAGATGCCAAAAACCTACTATGTAAATATATTTATTTTTTGGTGTCAGACGATTTCTTTAAAAGTCTGCCAACCTTCAGAATAAAATACTGCTCTGTGGCTTCATGTGTTTTGCAGCTGCAGGAGTAATACCAGTACATCTCTTTATGGTGGGCCAGCATTTTTCAGAGCATGCGTGGAGCAGGCGTAACATCAAATAATCTCATTTTCTGCCACATTATTCATGTATATTGTGGTATGGGAATAGATAGTGTCAGCTTCTTGTCTCTAACCTACGAGCTACATTCGCTTTCTTGCAGTTGCTTGGAAGTTCAAATGCTTTTTCCATATTTGGCTAATAAAACCTAGAGCCCTTTACCCATACTGCTACATTTTAATATCGCCATCTAGGCCTCATAAAAGAGGTATGCTTTTATTTATGTAGGATTTGGATTTTGTGCAGAAGACGAAAGGTAAATTCCTGCTGAAAGTTAACAGCAGCAAAAGCCTCTGCAATGCAGTACTAATACCTAAGGAATCGGTTGATCAGGGAAATGAGAATAGATGATAAATTCTGTCTCCCACTTTTATGTTTCCAATTTCCTCTTTTGCAGATAGTGTTAGCTGAGCCACCTGCATCAGACATTTGGGTGACTGTACTAGAAATATAGTCAGAGAAGATGTTATCTCCCCAAATGTGGGAAGCACACAAGGCCTCTGTTCTTAAAACAGCTTTAGTATTGTATCCTTCTTTCATCTCTGGTGTAATTACAGGTGACAAACATAACATAGAATTGATCTTTCTTTCACATAATATAAAAGTAGGAAATCAGAACGTTAGGGCTAAGCTTCAAAGAAGCAGATCCAGAGCCACATTTTTTTTTCTTCAATTTTTAAAGACATAAATTATCTTTGCACGTAGAATCAAGTGACTACAACACAGTTCTTGCAAATCTTTCACAATATGGAAAGAAAGGCCTCTAACTGCTTCAGAAGTTTGTATGTGCACTTAGCTAAATTATGCGTACATACTAGTTGTGGTGTATGTCACCATAAGAATCTGTTAGACAAAACATTTTTGCAGGCAGACTTTGTCTTGCTTTTTTAAGAATAGATCTTAACCATTCACAAATCTGAAGAATTTTAATTTGCATTATGTGCCATTCTTCTGATTTTCTTTTCTTTTTGTTTATTGTAACATGCAGAGACACGATGGGAGGAAACAAAACGAAGGTACACACAAAAGTATTGAAGCAGTTGTTGCTCGCCTTGAAAAACAAAATGGGATGAGTCTCAGTAACACTTCCAGCCCCGAGGAAGCTTTTATGGAGACCTCAGAAGGCATGAACAACATGGACGATGCTGTAGTTCCTCGCGTCCTGTACGAAGAACTGCTGAGGAGTTACCAACAGCAGCAAGAAGAAATGAGGCACCTTCAACAGGAGCTCGAGAGAACGCGGAGACAGCTCGTGCAACAGGCCAAGAAGCTGAAGGAGTACGGGGCACTCGTGTCAGAAATGAAAGAGCTCAGAGACTTGAACAGGAGGCTGCAGGATGTACTGCTTCTAAGACTAGGTAGTGGTAAGTGCTGGACTTAAATGGGACGAGTTTTAATGAATCTTGGAAGTGTGATCAGTAGGAATGGAAAAGTTTTTGAAGAATAGCAGTGGTTGTACAACTGGACATAGAATGTTAAAAGGCTTTTCTGCTGTGGCTGTACAGTATGTGTTGAATTTGTATAATGTGTACTTCTGGGTTTTTCTTTAATGATAGTAAGAGGTCTTGGTGCTGGTACGGTTGAATCAGAGTTCCATTTTAAACAGCTGTATTTTAAAGGGCCTCTGAGCATCTAGAAAAAGATAATAAAGTTTCATCTGCATAATACTCCAATATGTTCCAGTTAACAACAACAAAAAAAAGGTAGTGCACTGAATATTTGGGGTAAAACCGTTTTATTCCTTTCAGTCAGGGTTTTTTCTTTGTTGTTATATAACTGACAATGTGTTACCTTACATTTTCTGCCCCCTCTCCTTTTCAGTAGCTCATTAGAACATGATAAACTTCAGAACTTTTTGGCATTGGCTTTCAACAGCCACGCCATTTGAAAAAGAGTGGATTGTTAAGCATAATGAAGAAGCATTTTTTGATTAGTTTCCCTTTACATAAACACTTGTTACAAAATACAGCTTTATGTTATTTGGTTTTAAATTTTAAATATCTTGAGTCAACTGCTCTTTTGTTGTGGTTAATAACATTTATTTAACCATTATGTTGGAATAAATGGGAAAAAAAAGACAATAAAAAGCTCATCCTTGTCATTGAAGATGATACTTTTTGGAATACCTTCAAATATTTTACTAATTTATATTCATCTGCTATTAGAATGTGTGTTGAAGGTGATTTGCTTGGTGATTGAAACTTGTTTGAAATTTGTGCATCCAGATTTCAGCATGCTGGTTCTTACGTCTGCCTCTGTGTATCTGGGAATTTGATTTTTGCATGTAAATTGGGCACTGGCTCTTCCACTTGCCTTGAACGAGTGCATGCAGTTTGCCTGTCCGTGGGGGTTCCCTTCGCACGCAGAGCCGAGCCCGAGCATGTGCCTGCGCTGCCGCATGCCCTAGGGTGGCCCTGCAAGGCCAGAGCCAGGCTTTGCAAGTACCCTCTGAAAGGTTTAAACTGGGTGTTTGACTGTGAATGCTCATCATTGTTACCCTGTGCATAATTAAAATGTCATTACTTGTTATAAGCATTATAGCCAGCTTTTTAATAAAATTAAATAGGCAAGGTTTCCACAATCTAAAAAGCATGATGTGGTTGGCAGTAGATTCCACAGAGCTTTCTAAAATTTTCCTTGGATGGAAAGATGTTTCTTCATCTGCAAGTAGTTAGCTGGAATTTATGTGAATGGAGCACCAGACAGATGTTTGTAGGCAGTGGGGCTGAACGTAAAATACCAGTTTAGTTGGTAGACTTGACAGCTGTCTCAGTGGTGAGACCAGCAATGAAATGAAATGAAGATGGCCTCTGAATTCTCTCCTTTCTTTCCCTTTAAGGAAAGAGCGATACATTTTTGTTTGAACTGAGACTTAGGAGTATTTAGAAGGGAAAAAAACACTCCCTTTGAAAAATGCTGAATCTTCTCTCTGAACATTGGATTTGAGTTTCCATTGTATCAATCTGGCACCTGTTTTTCAACTGGCAATAAATCTGGATTACATTGAGACAAGATATTTTTTCTTTAAATTTAAGCACATATCTGGACAAATACCAAGTATAAGGAACTCCCCAAAATATCCCTTGTTATTATTGCCCTTAACATTAGAACAATAAAGAGGTAGGTTCTCTCCTGGGTACCTTTAAAATGTGATTCAACTCTTCGTGTATGAAAAGCTGATTTTGGCCCTGTTGTCTGTGTGTGTTTGTCAAGACTTGAAGCATCAACCACTGATGATTCTAGGGTCTTTCCTTATAGGCTCATTCTTATTAGTAGAGAACCAGCCAGCTTCTGGAAAGATCGATATAAAATTTATGAATGACTAGATAGGGGAGACAGCTTCAGCAAGTAGTAAGTTAGAGATTTTCATGAGTGCACAAAAAGTGGTCCTTACAATCAAGAAACAGATATGTAAAGACTTCTTTGGTCTCCATTTCCTTTCTAGCTTTAGAAATGAGATGTACTTGGGTATGTGAACAGTGTGTGCAAATTACTCAAAAAATAGATTATATGCCTAATGTATCCACAGTTGTTGTGGTGATTTCTTAAACCCAGAGTTTCAAATGTCATGTAACTTACGGTAGGCTGTGCTCGCAGCAGGCTGGACTTAATGCAAACTAGTTGTGCTTGGGGTTCACCTTGGAGACTTTGGGCTTCTTTGCCTGAGATGGCAGCTGATGAATTGCAGCTGTGGGGAGTACGTGCCTGTTGCTGTCCTAAACTGGCAGATCAAATACACAGCAGCCTCTTGAGCCAGCATTCAGCCAAGTATTCAGCCTCCTAATTTCCCATCAATATGGTGATTTCTGTGACAAGTTAGAGTCAGTGTATCTTTACTTTAGACCTGGGTCTTCACCTCTGTTACTAAAACTTAAGCCTCTCCTGTGGGAATAGTGAGGTTTTCAGTCTCGATTTTTAACACAGTGACAGTGAATTGCAGATTGTTTTTTAAAAAGCCTTGGAAGTGGAAGTAGTGAAGAAAAAGTAGGGAAGTTAGTACGGATTCATTGTGAGATATGGAGGGGTTTTCTGTGATTTTGGTATGCAGTTGCCCAACAGATCACTGTTTGAAGGAGAGAAGTTGTTGCCCAGAGCTCTACGGAGTGGAAGAGAGGGGAGAAAAATCCCTGCCCTGGAGCTCACGTGTCACCTGAGCTCCCCAAAAAACGTGCACAGCCCCGAGGCTTCTTTCCCTTTCCCTCCTGGGCCCTCAGGAAACCCCAGGATCTTAGACCTCGGCCACCCTTCTCTGCCTTGATACACCAGGCAAGGCACTAGTTTGCTCTGGTTTTATTTATGGTAAATGAGCTGGAGGATTAAATCACTCTTCCAAGCCAATTTTTAAATATGCCTTGGATTACTAAATATAAAAATTGGATTTCTTTTAACTAGTTGGTTCCAGAAAACAAAAACAAAAACATACAGTTTAGTAATATAAGGATTCTGTTAACAATGAGCATGGGAAATACCATATATCAAATAATAATGTTTCCCAGATTCCTATTGTTTTCATGTAAATTCTAGTAGATAATGTGGAGAAACAGAATTGTAATGACCCCTTTATTTACTTTTTTTTTCTTTTTAGTTGCTGCTTTTTAGGTAGAGAGTAGTCTATGCTGCATTTTGGAGAGAAGGAGGTGATAAAGGGAAGCCTTCTATTTCTTTATGCTGCAATTGAAGTGGCTGCCCTCTCAAAATTAGGAAAATGTTGCTAAACAGAAGGAAAAATAATTGTAAATGAAATATTTCTTTCCTTTTGCATTCTTAAGAATTGTCTTTAATTTTCGTATGATCCTTCTGTAATAAATACAGTTAAGCTGTTAGATGGTGGCTTACATCTCTATGCCCCTAGCCATTCATCACCTTTAAAACAAGGAGAGCACAAGAGCTGCAGAGAGAGGCCTTGGAAAGCGTAGTGCGTGGTAAATTAGACACACAATTCCTATCGTCAGCAAAGCAGTAATGCAGGTTGCGTGTCTGATTCACGTGTTGTGCTGGAAATGCAGTCATTACGACGTAGTGAAAGCAGAGGTGAAGACTAGCCAGGTAGAAGTAGCTTTCTGCTCAGGAAGAAAAAAAATCAGTACACTTCTAAAGTATAAAATGAGACATTTAAAGGCTTTCTGTTGGTGGCTTCTCAGCAGTAGAACATGAATTAAAATAGAGATCTTTCTGGCCTGTTAGAGCTATGGTTATTGTGGACGTTAATCAGCTGTTTTTCTTTTGGGGACTCTGGAATCCAAATCCCAGCTGTGTCAATATATTGCTATAAACAGACTATAAAAGACTTCTAAGTAGAGTAGTAAAAATGTTTAAACTGAAATACACTTTTCCTTTTAGGAAGAAGTAATTGTACTTAGAGATCTTCCTCAAATTGTGTCTCAGACTGCAGGATTATTTCCTTTGAAGAAAACTCAGAATAGCACTGTGCTTAAGAGCGTGTTCTTAGAGTAACGGCTAAGAGTTCATTTTTCCATCCTAAGTTCACGCTGGCAATCACCGAACATGTCTTCTTGTTCAGGTGTGCCAACCCAAGGAGTTTGAATGGCTTAATTGGTAAAGGTTTTTGCCTCCATCTGTATCACATTGCTGCAGTCTCAAGTAAAGAAAGTTTAGTCTGTTTTAATCTTCCTGTTTCTATACATGGATAATACTTGTTAAGATTACTCTGATACTATAATGTCAATGTTGTTTTTCTGTGATTTCTCTATTTGTGCCATGTTAGCTCTTAATAAATTGTCTATGGCACTGCAGTCTAGGGTTGTCTGTGTTGCCTGAAGAGCTTCCAGTTCTTGTCGAGTGTCTCAAGTAATAGTCAGCTAAGAACATCTAGCTAGCTAGGGAGCTGCAGAATGAGCTATAACCTGAATGTCAAACACTGGTAATGAAAGAAACATTGATATTATTTTATCTGTAAATGAAGCTGCACAGCACAGGAGGAAGGGATTCTTTGGTTGTTCCATGTACAGGAAATATTTAAGGTATGTAACTTGACACATGAGTTCCGATGCCACAGGTTGACTTGCGGAGTTAGATGAATTCAGGGTTTGGTTAGTGTGTCTGACCACTGAGGTGGGCCCATCCGTGGTGGTGACACAATTATTGAATTACCCTGCCGTTTATGGGACATGTCCAGGTTGGACTCTGGAGTGCTGCGGCGCTCTCAGCACCAACTTGGCACACTGTAGTTCTTACAAGTAGGTGAGTTACCTCTACAGCTCCTGCAACTGGGTGATTACTGCTGGGTCCAGGGTCTCAGCTTGCAGCTTCTGCTCGGTTAACGAACTGCCATCCCTGCATGGAGCTTACGGGGAGCTTACAGACCTGTTCAGAGAGAGATAACCATAGGCTTGGGGCCTTAGACTCCTCCTAGGCCTCCTCCTGGTCTAACTATTATAATTAATAATGACATGCAGTTCACAAATTGACTCTTCTGCATTTTTAGGAACACTATAAATTTCATCTGGAATAGAAAAGCTGATGGCTGACAAAATAATCATGTTCCTTTGGAGCCTCAAACATATGCTTAATAGTATTCTGTTTAAGCTATGCTTTCTTTTTCTTTGAATGCATTAAAATAAAAATCAGTATGGTGGCTGGACTGGACAATCAAAATTCTAATTTATGTTTTTATCTTCAGTTTGGATATGCTTTCTGTGCATGATACTTTAGCATAAGTAGCTTATGTCTGTTTTCTTTATAGCATTTCTGCACATCCTCAATATTTTCAGTATGTCTGTTATACTTAAAGACATTTTAAAGTGCTTTTTGTCTAATTAAATAGGTAATTTTATCATTACCTCAGTAAATTATGTAGTTTTATAAGTAGCTGTGTAGTAATTCTTATTTAAAGAATTGCTATTGTTGCTTTTGGTTTATAAAGGCAATGTAGCTATAGCATAATTTTCTTAGTGTGCACTGAAGCAGTCTTATCCATATCTGTAATTGTCCGTATGAATTAAGAATATAATTAAATATTTAAATTAAAATGAAGCATGTTAAAATGTTTATAAAACCAAGTTACGATCCAGCTTTTATTCAGAGGTAGGATTTTGGGTTGAACCCTTTCTGACTTTAAAATGAATGTGACCAATGTGATATTTTACTCTAACCACGGGTGATAAAGTGATTTATTTGATGTTCTCTGGGATAGCAGACAGCTCTTTTTTCTTAACTGTCTAGGACCTGCCATTGAGCTTGAAAAAGTAAAACCAGAATCAGTTGAACCTGAACCTGAGGTACAGAAGACCTTCAGTGAGGAAGCAAATACATCAACGTATTATCCTGCCCCTGTTCCAGTAATGGACAAGTATATTCTCGAGAATGGAAAGGTATTTTAAATTAAATATAGCATGAATAGTTTGTAAATGTCCTTCAGGTGTTTTTTTTTACAGAATTTTCATTAACTTGGGGTTATTGCAAGGTTAGTAGCCTACAGCAAGCTCCTCAGCTTTCATGAAGTTACATCCTTAAATTGAGGAGAATGATGGAAGTGCACAAATATGAACAGCGTTGTAAATTATCCTTAGTGATGACAGTGCTGTGCCAGGCAACAAATACAGCCAGTAAATATGCATGCACTAACACATTTGTAGTGTCTTGAATTGGTGACTTACTTAAATCCACTGAGTATATACCAAAGTTAGTAAAGCTACATTAGGCTGACAGAAATATATCTTAATAAAATAGCTTTAATATTTTCAGCGTGCTCTACTCCTGTTGCAGAGGAACCTTCACACTTTGGTTGATTTCGAGTCCAGTAGGTAATTCTGAACTCTGGAGTGAAAACGGGCTCCCCTGGATTTGGTGGGAATGTTGCCATTGAGTTGAATTGAAATAAGTGTTGCTTTCTGGATGCTTTTGTGGGCTTGTTGAAATACCATCCAGGTTTCTGGATGCTTTTGTGGGCTTGTTGAGCCCACATCCAGCTGCAGTTTATCAACACCTGTCTAATAGTTTTTGAGGCTCCAACATGTTTAACATACCATCTACTCATCCACTCAGGCCTGCTTTTATGGCTATTGCCATTGTCATCAAATTAAACATTGTATTTCTTTTACAAAAACCCAGTGTCCCTCAGAATTGCCTGTGCAGATCTTGAGTGTTGGGATGTATATATGCATTCAGTACCACAATCAGAGAACCTTTTAGGAGAAAATTTCCATTTCAGCCCTGACATACTGCAGAATTACTGATGGAGTAGCACAAAATACTACATTTTCATTTCTGTGTTACAATGCTGAGTATACAAATATCTGTTTATTGAAGATGAATTTGACAAAATTGTTATGCAGACAAAATGTATGTGACAAATAGTATAATTTTGGCAATCTGGCAGATATTTGGTTCAGGTAGCTTTTCTTGCCTAGTACATTTAACATACTTCATTTACTTTACTTTTTGTGTATTTTATTGTCAATGAAAACTTACTGTGTATTACTATGCTTGCAGTAGGTGGGATAGGGCATCTCCTTTGGTATTTCTATGTAGCTTTTTCCACACCTTTATTTCTTCTGCCATTGCTGTCAGCTCCTTTGTGTTTGTATTGCAGAAGTTTTCTCTGTCTTGACAGGTATCAAAATCACTTTCTTTTTGTAATGTGGGTTTGTTTTTACATTTGACTATTTTGTGGGGGGCTTCAGTCATCTCAAGGTATAGCTCATCTACCTTAATTTTCATTAATCCTATACTGATGTGAATTGCTACATAGTAGTTTAGAAACCTTATACTTTATATTTGATCTTAATAGGATTCTCTCCAATAAGATAAATCTCTCTCCTCTAGAGACGGAATGGAATTACTGAAAAAGAGGATGGCATTCATTAAAAAAAAAAAAAAAAAAGAACACAAACTTCTAACATGTTTAAATGTATTGCATGTGTTAATACAGTTACAGCGGTGAGCACTGCTTTGAATTTGTTCCTGTTTTTGTTGCATTGTACTTAAAGGTTAATCCTGTAGCTGCTGAAATAAAGTTTCTGGTGTTTTGCACGAGCCGAAGACCTGTCCCATCCAGCAAGAAGGAAAGTACTCCCAAATCTGGAGTACAGTAGACTTCCCATAGCCTTGGGAGTGCTAGGGAACAGTCCCAACAGAGAAGTAACCTGAGACATGGGAAGATAAAGTTCCTTGTCCTAGGAGTGCTACAAATAGAAAAGAGACACAAGATTGCTGTTGCTGTGGCTGTCTGTCATGGAGCTGCTGTCACCTTAGGTGTTTGATATCAGTGATGACTTGATTTTAGTAAACGAAGCATGGTCAAAGACGAGATGGTCTGTTTGAAGCATGAACATTAATTTTTTTTGCTGTAACTTGTTTTTTTAAGAGAACTTCAAACGAAGCTCAGTAGCTTAAGAGTCTAAGTGATCTTCAGCAAAGACAAACCCTAATCTTGGCAAAGGGAATCAGATTTTTGATTAAATGGAACAATCTCTTGTATTAATTGAATACAGAAATCCAAAATGTAGCATGTCAAAAAGCTTCTAATCTTGGTTACTTTCTACGGAGCTGTTACGCTTGTTTGTAGAGGTGACTTTTCCAAGATCAGAACAGAAATAACTGAGACAAACCTGCAAGGTAACTTTTCTGAGCACAGACCACTCACACAAGAAATTGTCTTTCAAAATATGTACAGAGCACCAAAAGTGTGCAAAGTTTTAAAGCAGTTATAAAGAGGCTCAACAACAGAGACAGGAGAAAAAGGCTGCTTCTGTTGTGCTTATTGCTAGTTCCATGTCTGTCCCTTATGAAATCGAGATACCATGCAGACTTGTGAGAAGCCTCTTAGAATCCTCTTAGTGTAGAAATTTCTGCAGGAGAGGCAATCACTTTGTTTTTATACTTTGAGGAAGTTGGTTTTCATTCATTTTTATGAGGTAGCTGATAGCCAGACCATTCATATTTTTGTATTTCAGTTTCTAAATAACTACTTTTTGACGTTTTTGAAGGATGCTGTCATAATAATAATAAAAAAAACAATCTTCAGACTATAGCTCTGAATAATAATTAAGCTTTCCATTTAAAGGAAAATGAAAGTTTGGTTAGATAAAGGCAGAAAAATTATAAGTTTATAAAATTTTTACAGTAGCTTTCTGCAATTTTCAGTGAATTTAATGGGAATTATGTGGTACCACTCAGATCCTTATGGGTAGCAGATTCAGTTCGACATTATTTTACATGAAATGAGTAAAAACCCAAAACACTAAGAGCCAAACAGTTAAGCCAAGCAATTTCTCCAGTATACCTTTGTCATAGAATTTTGTTAATGGTTTTTTTGAAATGTTCAGGAAGCAGTAACATTTTACTAAACGTGTTAATGAAAAAAGAAAAATAGCTCTGATCAGATTTTGTGAAACCTGAATTTTGGATATAGGAATCCAGTTTATACATTTGTTTGGTTGGTTTGGTCTCCTTTTAAAGAATTATCTGGAGATGAATTCCCTGTTGCCCCTTTCCAGGGCACCGCAGTCGTACCTGTGGTTAGAATAGCTCCATGGTGCGTTACCCTGCCGCAGCCCCTGAGCAGAGTGACGTTCACCAGCGTGTTTGCAAACTTCCTCTGCACTGAGGAGGTCCCCATGTCCCCACTGTGCTCCAGGAATGGAGAGCAGTGACATACGTGGTACAAAGCGGGCGCTGGGATTCCTCGCAGGGCCAGTGTTTGGGTCCAGTTGGTTACTGTCTTGTCAGACCTATGCTGATGATTAGTGGCATCATTTTCCCTGATGCTGCTTGGCTGTGTCCTGGCCAGGAGGCTTATCAGCTCACTAATGACACCCTGCCAGCCAAAAGATTCTCATCCTGCACCCATCTTCATAAGCCTGGTGTGCTGGGAAGCTTGGTTTAAAGATACTGGGCAGTTCTGTGTGAGTCAACCCAGTAGAGCCAAGAGCAGAGAGCAAGGGTAAGCAAAACTAGACTCTGGCTTTTTGCATTTCCCACTGTCTGTTGTGGATACTGCCTTAACGGAGTATCTTTGTCCACCGTTGTCTGAATAGTGGAAAGTCTGTAGTGTTGCAGCAGTGTTGTTGCCTTCCCACAAAGCAGTGGGTAGACTTCACAATGTGCAAACTTCCCAATATAGTTTGAATTTTAGAGAACTTGCAGACTCTTTTGGTTTGTGCTGATATTGGAGCTCTCGAAATGCCTTCTGTCCTTCTCGTTATTTTAAAGCATCAGGCAGAATTTTGCCAACAAGGATGTGACTTAGGAAACGTTTCCCTCTCTGTCACCCTCTGAACATGCTTTGGGTAGAGTCTGCTTCAGCCAAAAGGAGGTCTTTGTAGTAAAAAGACTATTTTCTCTCTTACTCCTAAATTAGGTTGGCACAACTGCTTGGTTTGTATGCTGTGCATAGCTATATAATACTTTGTGTGTTTACTGTTTCTTTCTTCTATTTCTCTTCCTGACCATAGCCTCTCAGGAGATACTGTATTGGAGAATGGAGAGGGGGAAAAAAAAAAAAAGTAGAGAGTAAGAAGAATTGAGAACAAAATAAAGAGGAGCTGTGTAATATATGAGGTTTACTTGAACTCCCTGAACCACGGAGTTGGAGGAGATTCAGAATTAGGCAAAATGAATTTGTTCAACCCTAATTACTGTTATTATAGTACCTAATAATGATGTTCCTATAGCACTTGGATACTGTTGTGTGCTGCATACCATAGATAAGTTGTTATTATTACTACCTTCTAGGTCCATCTTGGCAGTGGAATTTGGGTAGATGAGGAGAAATGGCACCAGCTGCAAGTAACACAAGGAGATTCAAAGTATACAAAAAATCTAGCGGTTATGATTTGGGGAACAGATGTTCTCAAGAACAGAAGTGTCACAGGAGTTGCAACCAAAAAAAAGAAAGATGCCGTTCCCAAGCCACCTCTCTCACCTCACAAATTAAGCATTGTCAGAGGTAGGTTATTTGAAAACTTTTGCTTCCTGCTTTGGAGTTTAACCATTAATTATGGAGTTGAAAGATGCTTCTTTTCAGCTCATATAAAAATAACTAATTAAAAACTGTAATTAAAGTTGCTATTGCATTTTTGAAGTGCATACGTATCCAGGAAAAATTAAAAGACATATTGCAATAGCTGGACACAGTGCAAGCCTTCACAGGTGGAGAGTTGTACCTTGATTGCAGTAAGATTCAAGAAGATCATCATTTTAAACTACCTGCAGGACAGGACTTTGAGTCTGGAAAGCAGCACATTCTGGAATTATTTTTATAAGATAATGATTTAACTGCATTTACTACCTTTAACAAGCCTGAGAGTAATCTTACCACATTCTTTTACCCAGAATGTAACCAGCTCTCCTGTGAGGCACAGAGACCATTACAGCACCAACTTTAAAAATATATATGTATTTGCAAAAGAGAGAAAGGTTAGTAGCTAGAGTGGAGAAAATGTGATTAGTAGCAATTGTAGTTTGAACAGGAAGTGCAGATTACTGACCTATCTGGCAGAAAATATGCAACACTTTCAGTTACATGGACTTAGGCTTGAACTATGTCGTACTTGGAGAGAGCGAGCGGGCCCAATCCTTTATTTAAAATGAATGGTGATATCAATCCCTTTGTATCATTGTGCTTGTGTTTTACATTCAGTTCTGTCTCTCTTGGTATTTCAGGCTTCTTTTTAAGTCAAAACTGAGTCAGTTCCTCATGGAATACATATCAGAATTGGATTTTTAGGTTTTGTGTTCAGCCTAAATTCCAGTGGGCTGAAAGAAGTCTCCTTCTTAAAGTTTCTTCTGCAGTTTGAGTGAGCTTCATTATTCTGTATTTCCTGTTCTTAGTTGCACTGTGCCCTAAACTATGATCTCTTGTAGTCTGCCTTGAAAGCAGGAAATGAGATTCCTTCTTATGTGTGTGTGTGTGTGTGTTGGGTGAGGAGAGAGTCATCTTCTTACTACTACTTCTTACAGAGTAAGAAAAGTAGATTTTTTTTTTCTTTTTTTTTCTTTTTTTCTTTCTTCTTAACTAATCTGCTTCAAAAATGAAGGTGGAAGCACATGCTCTTCCGTACCGGTTGTCTAGTCCTGCCCGGGCCCTTTTGGCAGGGTGCTGACAGCAGCAGTAGAGCAAGGCCCCCTCGCTGCCCCCCGCGGGGTGTGGTACCCGGGGCCGTGGCTGTCCCGTCGGCTCCCGAGAGCAGGGGAGGTGGTTGGTGGCCGCAGTGCAGCTCGTGCACTTGCAGGCAGCCACTAAAACCAGCCTTGCTGGCCCGCTGCGGCCAGCTGGCCCCTTGGAGGCTTCTCTTCCTCAGTGCTGCTGTTGGAGCTGCTTCTAGGACAGTTTCCTCTTCGACTTCAGTCAGATCCAGCCTGCTTAAATCTTTTAAATGATAGTTTTCTTCTAACTTATCTTGTTTAGACTAGAGCGAGCTTGGGAGTGCTCTCCATCAGGTACATGGTAAGAAGCCCTCCCCTTTTTCCTCCTCCTTGAGTTGCATTCCTCAGCATTTCAGTTCTTCACCATGTCTTGTATTTTCTTTTCTGCCCTGCATTTGCTTTCTGCCTCTACCCTATTTTTTTTTTTAATTCCTGTTCCGCTCCTGCTATTCCATGTTTCTCTCTCAAGTGTTTCTTTTACCCAAGGTATGAGGTAGGTAGGCAGGGGGCAGGCAGACTTCCCAGATCAGCAGCAGTGGGTAGCGCATAACCAACCCCGTGTCATTTTGCACTGTGACACTTGCATCTCCGTTAGCAGGTCTTGCCCCGCTAACCAGCAGTGTTTTGGGAAACTTTGGAAGTGATCACAGGAGAATGACCCAATTACAAAGAAGTGGAGACACAAACCAAAACAAAGGAGCAAACGGTGAAATGCTAGGAAGTTGGTTACTTGGCCAAGAACTTGGATCAGGCATCACAGAAAGAAATAAAAGTCTATTTTAGCTTTTACAGTCTACTTGAAGCTTTGCTGCCATCAGAAATAAGAAGGGGTGTCTGTATGGCCCCCAAAAGATGAGGTGGAACCTTCGAATCACTCTTCGAAGCCCCTGGGCCAGCACCCCTGTGTGACCTATTGAGTTGCATCTGTAGCCCCCTGTACAGAAATGGAAGAAAAGGGGGAGGAAGAAGCGTAGCAATCATGTATCGTCTGGATCACGAGGGCTTTTAGAGACACAGATGATGTATAAGTTCTGCCAGGTGATTTGTTCTTTGGGATAAGGTAGTAACACAGCCTGCATCTTACAGGAGTTCAGCACATATCTGACACAAACTTTATGGAGTCTTCCTGAGATTGCTGTAGTAAAAAATTATGCCTCAAAACCACTCTGTGTCTCTTCAGTTCTCAGTGACATGTGTCTTCCTAGGGATCATATTTCAAATCATACCTTACTGATGATTTGCATTCCAGCTATCGGGCTGCACGTTTATTGATTTTATTGATTTTATATTTGGTATATTTTGCAATATGAAATTCACTTTTTTCAAGATGTTCTCATTTTTCTGTGGACACAGACTAACCTATTTAAATTTTTGAATGTCAGTATTAGCTCTTAATGTGTCTAATTTCTCTAGCTTCTTAAAAAGTCCCTATTGTATACTATATTATAAAGAAGTTATAAAAAGTGTGATGCGTGAGCACTGTTATAAACCTTCTTAATGCAAAATAACCTTTTATAAAACTTTGGAGAGGCTTCAAAATGAACTACAAAGCATGCATAGTACTTAACTTTCATAACTTTTTAATACGATGCATTAGAAATGTTATAAACCATGTTAATTAAGTGATAATCTCTATGGCTTTCTCTATATGAAGCAATAAATGGCTACTGGAATACTAGGCAAAGCAGAAGAGAATTTGTTTAATCAATCTTGGGAGCTGTTTATTACTAGTGGCCTATACAACAAAATGCATTCTCCTGGTTATGAAAAAAAAAAGAAAAATAAAGAAAAATAGAAATAAAACTTGCCTGTGTCGAAGGAGCTGGATGTGTTGCACCACCTCTGCTTTTGAGAACGTGTGCTGGATCCAAGGTGCAGATCTACCAAGCGTGGAGAGCAGAGTGTTTTCCCTCCTTGTGCTCATTGCTTTGCAGATACTAGTGGTTCCTTGCTTTTTGTGTTCCAGTTAATTCCACAGAGCACGTTGTGAAAACACCCAGGAAAATGGGTCTTGCCCCAAATACTCTAATAACGCAAGCAAAGTACAAAGGCCAGGGATGGGGCATGCGATAAAGATGCAGACATTATGATGCACATTATACAGTTTTGTATCTTTTTATTAAATTAATGTCTTCTCCTACTGGTTCCTGCTTCTTCCTAACCCTTACCACTTATTTGTTTATTGTCTTGAAGGTATGATGAAAGGAGTGACTCATAGGGAATGTTAGATAACAACAGTTCTAGTGAGACCCTACATCTGGAGGAAGATTCTTAAATCTGTGGAGATAAGGACAAATAGAAGATTTAGGCAGACAAGACTGACACTGTTAAAAGGTTGGATTTAGCCTTGTTTCTGTATAGAAAGCCTGTTGATGTAGTCTCAGCAAAACTGAGAGTTTGTCATGTCAAAAATTCAAACCTGGTGAAAAATCTTGCTTCTAACAAAGATAGCTCGTGAGTCAGTGAAAGCTTCCGTTGTGCTGCAACAAATACACACAGTGCTTATTGCTGTCTGTTGGGTTGTGAGGCCAACAGAGGGCTACATTCTTTTTCTAAAAATATCCTAATAGCTCTTTCTTTTTTTTTCTCCCCAGAATGTTTGTATGATAGAATAGCACAAGAAACTGTGGATGAAACTGAAATTGCACAGAGACTCTCCAAAGTCAACAAGTACATCTGTGAAAAAATCATGGATATCAATAAATCATGTAAAAATGAAGAAAGGAGGGAAAGTGCAAAGTACAATTTGCAATAAATTTTGGATTTTTCATAAAGTCTTAGTGTTTTACTTAAGCGTTGTTTTTTGATTTGCGTGGCATTTTTGCTGATGGGAGAAGCTAACTTTAAGGGTGACTCTCGTTCTGTTTTTTTGTTTTGTGAAAAGCCTTTCTATAGTGTAACCTGATTTTAAATGATATAAGATCAATTGTAAGTCCACTCGCAGTGAAACAGAGTGGATTTTCCAAGTTTTTTCCAATGAGTTGCAGTATGTTACCTGCAGTTTTGTATATAGGTTGTATTTCTGCAAACACCAACCCTTTTTACCCACGTCTTGTTTTACTGGCATTGGTGGAACTAGGCTGTAGTAAAAATCTGCTTAGAAAGATCTGTACAAAATCCACTTTGATATTTAAAAGGGTTTTATTGTATTTTACAAAGTGTTTTTCTGAACTGAAATTTTAATCATTTGTTTTTATAAAACTTTGTTTCAACCTCTTACAATATATTTGGTCAAAAACTCACAAACGGTGCTGCTTTTTCACTTCTTATCTCGGATAACTTGGTCGCCATTACTGTCATACTTGAAACCAAAAAAAACTCCACAAACCTAAAGCTGTAACTTGTAAGATCATGATAATTTATATATATAAAAGAAAAAAAAAGAAAAAAAAACTAAAAGATTTATTTTTGGGCACAAAGGCACCTTTCAGATTTTTGTTTCTGCCACAAAGCTGTTTGGTTTGGCTGTGTTGTAGTTCTTGATGCACTGCATTCTTAGTGTATTTGTATTTTCAAAAGATGTAAAGATTGCCATTGTATGCAAATTACGTGTAATATACAACTTAATACCAATTCCTCTGAAGAATGGGTATTTTTAGCACCAATTTAACCTAGAAAAACATCATATTTTCTATTGAGTTTAGACTTTTGGTCTGTGGCATGCAGAGACATATGGAATAATTAGTTGTGCATCTGATTTACACCTCACTTTCTCCAGTGGATTGAAAATAACCTTATGCCTTGTTTTGTGAAGGGTTTTGAGAATAAGGTTTGAAGAGAGAACTTAGGATCTATAAATTAAAAAAAAAAAAAAAGGAATAATATCTGATCAATCTCGAAGATTTGTTATATTGGTGATCTCAGTTTAACTGCCATTTATTTTACATGCACGGATGTGGTTATCTGCGTTTTGGATCATCGCTTTTGGAGTATGAGTATTCCATTTCTACCACTGAAATCCTGCTTCCTGTAGTTTGTGAGATTTAAAATTTCTTGTTACCTTCCTTTAGCATTGGTGTAGCCAAATGTTGAGGTTATTACAATGTCCTGTGTGATAATTTGAAAGGAGCAATGCAAGGAGTCTTTGAAGGGCTGCAGTGGGAGGGAGGGAAGTGCTAAATTTCATACATGTTTTGGAATGGATGGGGTAAACAAAACAGCATGTTTTATCTTCCTATAATGCCATATGTGCGTGAATGATGTCCTAATCCAGAACATTAGTATTTATTAATCCTTTCCAAGGTGCGACTTCCTGATGGACTTAAGCCAATGTAAGTACATGGTGCTGCCACGAGAGTGTGTCCCACTTTCTCTGCCTATGGCTCCCTGTTCCCTTCCCTTAAACTGCCTGTTTGGATTATGCAGATGTGTCACCTGCCACTGATTCCTAAGGTCCATTTCATAAAGGTTGGTGTCAGTAGAAGGGAGATGGTGGAAATTCAATATCTGGGAACAGGAAGAGTCTTTGCAGTGGCTTACTCTTATTCTGAAACCACTTTTGCAGTCTGGCTGGCCCCTTTTTATTTCAAAGTGTTCTTAGGTGCTGGTTAGTGAAGCACATAAATGTTATGCTCCCTAATTTGGGATGGCAAAGAGTAAATTAGTGGTTTTAATGTCAGTGTGTATATCCCTTTATTAATTAAAGAAATAAGGATGACATTGAAGAAACACTTAAAAGAGCAAATCTCATATTTCAGGCAAAGACCTGTGAATGTGCAATGTTTTTTAAAGCAAAATTAGGAAAAATGTCCATATTTTCTAATTTTTATGGCGTTAGTACTAATGTGTTTTCACTGTAGCATATTCTCTAAAGAGAAAATAACACTGCACTTCTAATGAAATGAGTATAGCATAAGCCTATTTGAGATAGCACTTTATGATACCTGAAAAGGGCAGATTAGAATTTAATTAGTTAGGACTTGTATCCCACAAAATGGGAGGTTGTTGATATTTTTGCAAAACCAACAGGATTTTTTTACGGTTTCTTTTTGACAGGCTTGGACCATCAAATGCAAATGCTGCACATTGCAAAAGGATTTTATTTTTTTCTTTGGGAGAAAGAATCTCTGAAATCTTTATTCATGTTTTCTTGGAGTTTCTGTCACGGCAGCACCAGGAGGCAGTTCTTCAGGCAGAGTTTCACTGGAGTGTTTGGGTAGCACAAGGGTTCACTTCTTTACAGTTTCGCACACACTGGGGGTATCAGGCAAGGAGACTAGGCTCTCTAATGGATAGTAGTTGTGTAGGAATAACATTTTTGTATTTAAAATCATCCATTACTCTTCCTTGTCTTTTCCTTCTTTGGGAACCTTGTGTAAAGACTGTGAATCTTTCCCAGCCTTTTTGCTTCAGATAGGCCACAGTTGTTGTGTTTTCCAGCATTATCCAAGGAAAAATACAAACTTTAATAGAGTATGCTTTTTTGAATTGAAATACTGATTGCCAAATTTACTGTGAATTTCATTTCATTATTTTATATTGCATTTATGGTCAATGCTGTTCTTGCTGGTACATTAATTTTTCTGTAATTGTCCCTTTCTGTGCATAGTTCTAGTTTGCTCATATTGCATCTGCCATGAATCTGCCTGAGGAAATTTTATGCAAAAATAGTGACTTTCTCCTATTGTAGTTTAACTTTATCATATCTATACCTCACATGAGACAGTACAGAATTTTGACCTGAAATGAAATAGGTTTTATTAATCCTGTATCAGATTCATAATTTATGCACTGCTATTATTTCATTCTGTAAACTGGGATTTAGAAGGATCAGAAAAAAAAAAGAGATAGCAGATTTTGTTTTGTCCAGAAAGATCAGTGTGTGCTGTTACCCTCCTTCCTTGGAGAAGGAAGGAGGTGTTAGTGTTACAGGAATACTCCGAGTCCTTTGTTGCTGCACATCGCCGCTGTAATTTGTAATATTCATGACCTGATCCACATTAAAGTGCCTCTGGCACACTTGCAAGGAAGCGAGATTAGAGTTAACAAAGAGGTCTTTATTTTCCATTAATTATTTTATAAGGGAAATGAGCTATTATATTAAAGAAAGAATCAGAACAGAGGTTTTAATACCTCAGTCAAGATGCCTAACAACTCATTTAAAAAGAAAGCTTCTATTTCCTTTTTCTTGAGAGGAAAAAAAACCTGTCAGATTGAACTGTTACAGAACAAGTTTGGATTTATTGATGCTTTAAAGAGATTTTTTCTTTAATACAGACAGACTAAATTCTTATTTATTTAGTCACGTCAAAGTGGAACTATCCGTGGAAGGGATTTATGAGGTTGCATTTGGGTAGCTATTGAGCGTGGCTGTCAAAAGCAGGTACAGTCGCCCTGCGGGAGGTGGCTTCTTTGCACTCTACCTTTGATGCTGTATCTGATGGATTACTACACGGCTGCTTTGTTGTCTTAAGTGTAGATTCCTGTCCTATTGAAAGTTTTAAGTAGCAATAAATTGAACTTTTTTTTTCATATTTAGTGAAATTGTAAAGCTAATGCAGCTTCATGCCCGAATTTGTAGGCTTTTAAAAAGTCAAGGTAAGTGTAGTTCATTGTTGAAATAATACTGTCTTGACACAAAACCTCAAAGGATTGAGCATGTTCTGAACTAATACAGCCCCGTTAGCTGCAGCCTTAGTGTGTATTAGCTGCATTTGTAACTCCTGAGAAAACAAAACTTGGACAGTTTCTGAAAGGGAAAGCAAGGGACTTTCATATGAACTTATATTATGGATTATTTCAATATTCCATCTTCTGATGTGAAAATAGCCATCTTCCAGAAATCTGTAAAAATGAAACTTGTGCTTCTTCAGAGTGAGATAGTAGTTTCCAAGACGTATTCTTGAAAATATTTGTCATTCTGTGCATGCCTTTAGTCTGGGATTGATGAAGTCATAACATCAATCGTTTAGGCTTTATTGGTGTCATTTTTTTCATCATAACACCGTGGAATTGTGAAGCAATTCATACTACATTGAGGCAATGAAAATGTTATGAAATGCAATTATTGCACGTTTCATGCTCAGTAGCTAGTTTTTAATTTCACCAGCTTGGACACTTTTTCATCCCCCCAGGCTTCCTCAATAGGAAGAGAGAATCATTTGGACTTGGAAAATAGAGACAATGATTCAGAAAGGAATTAATTTGCTTGGCTGTTAATTTGTTTTACTTTTGCAATTATTTGCAATTATTTCTGCTGTTTGTATTTGAACAAGAATTTTCATTCTACGCATTAGATTTACACTTGTTGAGTCTGCAGTGAAGTCACTGCAATGTCAGTTGGTTATTGTAAAGGTAAAAAATACTGCACAGGTGACATCAGATGAAGTTTGTTATGGCTGAGCAGGTGAAAGCAGGTCTAGGGGGAGAGGAAGAAGCAGCTGAGCTTCTCACTGATCCTAGAAGGATACTGGGATCAGTGAGGAGCAGCCAAATGAGGAGCAGGGTCGGATGGCTGATGGTCCAGGATGTCTAGGAACAGGTTGTGCAGGAGTCACGTAGGCCTTTTTACCTTCCCACAGAGAACTAATTTGTGCAATTTAGATCAAGTCAGTAGCCAAATAGCAAAAATCTCAAGCAGATTGACTGACATTTAAGGTTTCAATCAGTGAGAAATTTTATTAATTAAAAAAGTCCAATCACTCTTACGTGCCAAGAATTTAACCTTTAGCAATTAGAATAGTCAGCATTTTCTAGGAACTCTAGGAACTCTAATGCAGTTATGTAGCTATATGCCACATGACAGCATATATATATATATATATATATATATATATATATATATAAAAA